GGCTGGAAATGACCTTTCTCGACTTTTGAGCTAGGTGTCTAATGACTTTGTTCTTCAAAATTCAAGGATTTCCCCCTCTTGAAAACGGTAAGGTAAACTTTCTCATTACAGTCAATAGGCCTGTTATGTGTGTATACCTTAAGAAAATGAGTAGTTCCATATCGTATTCTTTTTTCAATGAATCGATAAGCGAAAAGAAAAGGCGGTTCCATCCTAGATGGCGGAAAATGAGTTTTCCCCCGACTCCTGAGGTGTCTTAATTACTTTTAAGTTTTTCAATATTCAAGGTTTTCCCCTCTTGAAAACGGTCAGGTAATTTAATTGTTCCCATTGTTATTACAGTAAAGGGCTTATGTGTCTATACACACATAACATTTAAAAAAAATGAGTAGTTGCATACGAATTTTCGATGAATCGATGAATCACCAAAAGAAAGGGGGTCTGGGGGTCGTCCCCCGGGAAAATTTTGACTCCTAGAAGGCGGGAAATGAGCTTTCCCGACTTCTGGGGTGTCTTTTAATTACTTTTAAGTTCTTCCAAAATTTAAGGTTTTTCCCTCTTGAAAACGGTCATTTAATTTTTTACCATTGTTATTCAGTAAATAGACCTTAAGTGTATACATACATAAAAATAAAAAAAAAAATGTGTAGTTTCATACGAATTTTCCATGAATCGATGAATCCCAAAAAGGGGGGGGGTCCGGGGGTCCTCCCCCCTGAAAATTTTGATTCCTAGAAGGCGGGAAATGAGTTTTCCCGACTTCTGAGGTGTCTTTTAATTACTTTAAATTCTTCAAAATTCAAGGTTTTCCCCTCTTGAAAATTATTATAATGAATCAGTGAACCCAAAGAGAAAAGGGAGGTTCAGGTTCTTCTCGGGAAAATGTTGGTTTCTTTTAGTGACTTTAAAAGTTCTTCAAAATTCAAGGTTTTCCCCTCTTGAAAACGGTCAGGTAAATTTTTCCCATTGTTATTACAGTAGATAGGCCTATGTGTGTATACATAGGCCTACACAAAAAATTGAGTAGTTGCATACGATTTTTTTTTTTCGATAAATCAATCGATAAATCCCAAAAAGAAAGGGGGTCCGGGGGATTCCTAGAAGGCAAGAAATGAGCTTTCCCGACTTCTGAGGTGTCTTTTAATTACTTTTAATTTCTTCAACATTTAAGGTTTTCCCCTCTTGAAAATTATTATAATGAATCAATGAACCCAAAGAAAGGGAGGTTGGAGTTCTTCCCGGGAAAATGTTGATTTCTAAGTGGTGGGCAACGAGCTTTCCCGACTTTAAGTTCTTTAAAATTAAAGGTAATAAATTTTTCCCATTGTTGTTACAGTAAATAGGCCTTATGTGTGTATACAAACAGTTTAAGTAAGTTGCATACGTATTTTTTTTCCATGAATCGATAAATCCCAAAAAGAAAGGTGGGTGTGTATAAGAGACAGCCTGTGGTTCTTCCACGGGAAAATTTTGATTCCTAGGTGGCGGGAAATGAGCTTTCCCGACTTCTTAGGTGTCTTTTAATTTATTCAAAATTCAAGGTGCCCCCCACCCTCTTGAAAGTGATTCAATTAATCAATGAACTCCAAAGAAAAGGTCCGTGTTCCCCGGGAAAATTTCGATTTCTAGATGGCAGGAAATGAGCTTTCCTGACTTCTGAAATGTATTTTAGGTTCTTCAAAATTCAAGGTTTTCTCATTTTTTATTTTATGTGCGTATTCATACATAAACAAATGAGTAGTTGCATGCGTATTCTTTTGCCATAAATCGATAAATCCCAAAAAGAAAGGGTGGTCCAGGGGTTCGCCACCTTGAAAATTTTGATTCCTAGATGGCGGGAAATGAGGTTTCCCGACATTTGAAGTGTGTTTTAATGACTTTTATGTTGTTCAAAATTCTAATTTTCTTAATGTAACAAAAAAAATATAAAAAAATCAAAAAAAAAAAATCAGCTCACAGGTCCTGAAAAGGTAGGTCTAGAATTCTTTTTTTTCCCCCCTTTCTTTTTCTTTTTCCCCTTTTTTTTTCTTTGCCCAAGGGAGGGGTCAGGACCCATGACCCCCTCCCCCATATCCGCCAATGTGAATTGCGAGAAAATGTAACTCGGTCGGGTACTCATATATATTCTCTTTCCCATCCTTCTCCTCCTTCTTCCCTCGTTCTTTCTTGCATTTCCGATCATACAAAAATCGCCAGACATTATATATTTTTTGCCAAAAAGTGGGGGGGGGGGGGCCTGGGCCCCCCGCCCCCCCGGTTCCGCCGGCCATGTGCTTCATAAACCAAGTCTCTTTTGGTCGTGAGAAAAAGTCCAGCTGTGATAGGAATTGAACCCAGGACCTTGGGATCAGAAGGCAAGCACCACCACTGAGCAAGTCAACTCTTAACCATTGAGCTATTCAACTCTACCCTTTTCTAGAATCTCTTGAACAAATGTTTATGCCTCTACAGAAAACTATATTCTTATATAAATACAGATTTTAATTATCTGGAGATTCAAATCCTGAAAATGATGTGTAAAGCCTCAAAAAATGCATGTGTAAAGTCGAGTATCCACTGTGCCCAACGGAGAGCGGCATTTTTATTGTACGATGCTGTGCGCGGCCGGCTAAAGACCTACAGTACAAACCATTTCTTATTATCTAAAATCCGATTCACTTATATAAAGAAATCGAAATAACAGATTACCCACATACAAAGAAAAGAGGAGGGGGAGCTAGGGGGGCTACATCCCCCCACCCCGGTCGGGGAGAAAAACCACAATTCGTCGAGGAAAAAAAAAATTCAAAAAAATTATATGTATTTTGTACATGTTATAATAGACGCTAAATTTGTTATTTTGGGGGGGGGGCTACTTTCGAAATGGTTTTTAGCTACGCCCAACCACATACTTTTTTCTCATCGGGCACATCAGCTCTCTCGTCGGGGACCTTGGACCCCCCTGTCAGGGAAATCCCGGCGCCGCCACTGATCAACTCTCTTAACCGCCAAGCTATCAACTCATTCATTAAGTGGAATTGAAAATGTTTTTAAGTTATTAAAGCTAAGATTTTTGTTTTGGTTTAAAGGAGAAGTTTACAAATTTTATATAATTTTAGAGTCAATACTTATTTAAAATTGGTAAACTTTTCCTTTAATATTATCTATGAATTGAATTTAACTAATAAAAGTAGTAAATAACAAAAGAAAAAAAACTTAATAATAATTTACCTACCCAGCATGGAAGACAAAGTATGTAAAAAATCTCCAAAGTTGAATTTTTTTTGAAGGGTTAAAAATTAAGATACTCTCTTTTGGGACTGGTCCAACCATCAAGTTAAAGTCTTGTTTCACTAACACACAACTATACACATAGAAACCAATCTACAAAAGAAGCAACATAGGATGAAGCAACAACATAGTCATGAACAGAGCGTAGCTAGTCTCTAGACACTAATCTAAAAGAGAAACAACATCACGGTTATCAATAAAAACATAGGAACCAACCTATAAGAAAAACAACATAGGATGAAGCAACAAAATAGTGATCAACAGGTTTTAGGTTGGTCTCGGCCGGAGGAAGGGTTGAAAATATGGGGGTGTGAGATTGAAAATGGAGAACTAAGTCTTTATTCCAATAAAAACTTCATGTTCAATTGTTTTATTTTAATATAAGTATTTTAAACACAATTTAGTTACCATGGGGGTGCATTACCATGGGGGTATCATCCCTCTTCCAAGCCTACAGTATGCCCATAACAAATACAAAATAGAAACCAAACAAAAAAAGCAAGAACATTGTTTAGCAAATATATGAAAGAAAGAAGGTTATCAAATATACAGTATTTTGTAAAGTTATAACCAACCCGAAGAAAGACATCAAACAAATTTTGGAAACAGAAAACATAATAAAGACAACATAGTCCTTGTTTCATGTACAGTAAATTGCATATTTTGTTAAAAACACTAAAAGAAAAAAAAGATCACACCATTGTCCAGAACAGTAGCAACAAGATAGTCTTGAACCAACCACACAATTAACAAAAGACAATTCAACTCACCTCAATTAAGCACATACATATAATTAAAACAGGTGGCAAACACCACCTGAAATTGCTTGTAAAATTGGCTCGATCGTTATCATTGGTTAAAAATTCATTCCCAATTAACTTTAGACAATACTGCCAACGGGTCATGTGACTTTCTGTCGTGAATTGATAGAGGTGCCCAGATACGCAATCGTTCAATCTTGTACGTACTGCTAATGAAAAACTTAATGAACGTTTTTCATTCATCTGCAATAAGAAATATTTCCACATATAATAAGCAATATTGATAGGGCAATTATTCAGCCATAAGGCACTTTACCTACGTTTCTCTTTCCACCCAGCAGTGAGTGGTGAGTGGGTGGAGCGCACATCCCCAAGAAAAGCTTGCACCCGCCAGCTGCCTACCCCCCACTGGAAACATTTGAAGCAAAAAAAATTACCCTCAAGTAGGTTAAAATCACCATATTTTGTGTGCTGGTGCTGTCCCCTCTTGTTAATTTCGCGCCCCCTATCATCCCCCTCCCCATTTCAAGGATTCCAAATAGATATGTCACTGCCACCTATGTATACAAGTGGTATTTTATACATAAAATTAGCTGATACATAAGCTGCAACATTATAGAAATCTCCCAGGTAACTGAGTATGGTTGACCTATGACCGGTGACGTGCAGCGCTAATGCCGGGCCAACATTATAGAAATCTCCCCAGGTAACTGAATATGGTTGATCTATGACCGGTGACGTGCACACTAATGCCGGGCCAACATTATAGAAATCTCCCCAGGTAACTGAGTATGGTTGACCTATGACCGGTGACGTGCTGCGCTAATGCCGGGCCAACATTATAGAAATCTCCGCAGGTAACTGAGTATGGTTGACCTATGACCGGTTACGTGCAGTGCTAATGCCTGGCACTCACTGCATTGTATGACATTTGTCGTTCGTCGTTGTATAATGTTTTTAAAATTGGATGAAATAAATGAAATGAAAAATATAAGGAATCCAACCCGCCCCCTGTGAGCGTGCGAAAAACACAATGCCGTTTGTTGTTGGTGGCAGTCTGAACGGATTGTTGTTAAAAACAATTCGTTGCACACATATTGTGGCATTGCAGAGGAGGGCGGAAAAAAAGTTTTCTTCTTTAGCAAATAGTTTTTCAAAAAAAAATCCAGATAGAAGAGAAAATAAAAATAAAAATTTGCAAACAGTGTAGTAATGGGATGGTTAAATGCTTTAAATTTATATAAATAGGAAGAAATATACATAGTTAATTTTTTAAAATTTTAAGGCAGAGGCGGGCGTAATTAAAATAAAGAAAAACTTTTCCAGTTTTTGTGATGGAGGGTACGCTATTTGGTCAAAAATAACATTTTATTTGAAATCAATTTTGGCGGATGCCGGGTTTGCGAAACAAGGTACAAAAGAAGTCTCACGTGAAGTTCCTAATAAACAAATTAAAATACATGTGATAATTTATTCTGATCAGTACCGCCTTGAATATATATTTGTATAGAAATATTTTTGTGCATTACACTACTGAAAATAGGTGTAAAATCTGCTTTAAAAATAAACACAAACGGAGCTCCCATTTTCAATTGACTACATATGGCAATTACAGTAATTTGGGTTTAGTAAAAGAGTATATGGATACAAAAAAAAAAAGATACTTTGCGCTTGAAAAAAATATTAAATTTACTCACAATATTCAAAAATTCATGGTAGCCAATGTAGCCTCCAATATTTTCTTCTATAGTAGACTCCAAGACAGACAGTTTGTGTGGGTCAATGGATTCTTTTAGTCCATACTTGTAAAGAATAACTTGAAAAGCCTCCATGCTAATTTTACCGTCTCCATTTACATCAAACTGTAAAATATGAAAATAATTTAAATATAAATATGCACTGCAGGGCTGTCATCTGCATATCATCCATTGAGAAAGCATGTCTAAAGACGGGCATTCATTACGCCGGATTGTCATCAACTGACACGATTCTATGGAGGAAGTAGTGCCACACTGTGTGCGTAAAGGATCATTTTTAATGACGATCAATCGGCAACCGACAATCAGCAGATGGCTTCACATTGTCCATCGCTCCGGGGAGCGGAGTTCGCTTTTTCGTATGACCATTATACGCCACAGTGAGTGTGCCTAACAGGTTTATTTGAAAAGTGAAAACGGCAAAAGGTCAAAAGGTCAATGGCTTTTTACTTCAATTCACAGTAATTATCACTCTGATATTACTGTAAACTCTTTTACATTTCTTTTGCATTTTTGCATTTGCGCTTACCACTGATTGGGCCTTGCTTGGAAATACTATTATTCCTTCACTCACTAATGCAACTTTTTCCTTCAATTATGTACTGCAAATGTTCGAATAAGCACCACGACACTTATACAATTTTTGAGGCATCAGTGTGGCACTTATTCAAAAGCGTTGTTGTGTAATTTATTCATTTTAACACTATATATACACTGTATTTTACCCTGTTTCTCAAAGTGTTTCATTACACACAGGGTAATATACTGTATACTCTCAAATAAGCACCACAGCTCTTATTCGAGAGCGGCACTTGTTTGCGAGGGGCACTAATTCGAGAGCGGTGCTTATTGGAGCATTTACGGTATGTACCAGCATTTTTTATTCTATTTGTTGTGATTGATATGGAAGATGCTTATTTATTTTACATTGTAGGAGGCTGGGCAGTTTCGGGAGCAGGGAGACGTGTTCGAGTAGTTAGCGTGCAGTACCAATCGAGAGGAGAAGCGAAAAATGTATCTGATTTTTTGTACAGTGTGTACCATGCTAGGCGTTCCCTCTCCCTGCAACTACAGTGCAGTCAAACAAGTGGAAAAGGTGCAGATATGTTTCTGAGATATTGACAAAAACCGGATTCTTCCATGTAAACTTTATTAGGCTCTTATGTCTGGAACCTGAATTAGCAGATTTCTGAGAGGGAAATAGCAGAACTCTGTAAGAAAATATTAAAAGATTAAGATTAAAAATTAAATTTCCTTTTTTGTCCAATATGAAATATTTTAAATCTGAAATTTCCAGAAGGGAAAATAGTAGGAACGGATTATGATCCATGTGCTTGGACTAGTATGGCAAAAAGCAGAACCTAGTGTCAGAAAATACAGATTATTGTCAACCTTCTCATTTCAAACTTTATATTTTACAAATCTTTTATTTTATGAATGATGTTTAGCTGATGATATCATCACCCAATCACCCAAATAGTTTCATATTATTATTCTTTTTTCCAATTTTTTCTTTTAGTGCACTGAATGTCCCAAGAAGGAAAGAGTATAAACAACTAAAAAACAATTTTATATATAAATGTTTCTTGAGTCTTAGCTAATTATATCAATTAGCAGTCGCTGTAGGGCACTTTTTTGGCTCATTGAACTATAAAGCAGACAGTAAAATATAGAAAGTCTCAATATAAGATAAACTATCAGTTTTGTTTAAAGTTATCATCATCACCAAAGTTTCATTAACTGCTATAATTATCTAAATTATCGATCGTATTATCATTATATTTAGAAATAATTACCAGTAGTGTTGAATAAACAAAACATTCCATTTTCAACAATCAATATTCCATGCCAGTTATTTTGTCTGCACTGGCCTATTATGATCCCACTTTAAGTATCTGTTGTCTGCATTCTATTCGATATTCGCAGTCAAATCCAAATGAGGCTGACGCTCACAAGCATGAAGCGATTGCATTGCGACTAAACTAATTATAGCAATAATAAGATAGCAACTCACAAGGGAAAAATCAAGTGATGTTGTTTCTCTTGAATAATTACAAAATCATGAAGGGTATCCGAATATGTTTGCAGCAGCACAAGTCTCTCACAAGAGAAGGCAATGAAAGAAGCAAATATAAACCAACAGTGCATAGCAATATCTATCAATAAATTCACAGTGCATTGTACCAACATCACACAATAAAAAATTACTGGAATAATAGCAATAGTTAAGAATCAAGTGACAATTTTCATATAGTTGTAATATCATCACATAATAAAAGTAAATTTTGTAGTAAATAGTCAATATCCCTTTACAAATGATCCACTGATACCTGAATCGCACAATTATTGCAGGAACACGTGTGTGTAATACGTATCCAATTCTATTCCATCTGCTGCTCTCCTTGTGGAGGGCTAAAATGCCAGGATGAAAAAGTGCACCGTCTTCAAAAAGATCTGTTCAAGTCATGGACCCATGTGCAATATGTGCATGTCAAAAAACTTCGGGAAAAAAGTAGGGGAGTTGGGGATTGTTTTCCAGTGTTTCTCAGACTTTTATGGGTTATTCTTGGTGTTCACATGAATGAACATTCAACACACAGTCTACAAACATCTCTGATTCATTCTAAACAGTGAAACATACAAACTTTGCCATAGCACAGTATAGGCTGCTATCTGTAGGCCAGTAGTTGTGCATACTCTCCTGTGGAATGCTTATCAATACAACAAGTTAGACATTGTTTTTCAGAATGCAAAATTGCACTGTGAATGTTTTCAATTATTGTAGCCTTCCTTAACTTTGATTTGCTCAAGTATGATGGGGCTGGCCCCAGAAACTGTTTTTCCCTAGACTTTTACTTACACTGAATGTGCAAGTGTGAACATCACAAGCTTCCTGATCTCATAAGGTGTCCCTGTTTCAATTTGTTTATAAATTTGCATTTCTGTGTGAATTACGTGTATAAGTAACATGGAACACAGAATTTTCCTTTCCAAGGTTGTGAACTTCGTTGTAGGCTGTTTGAACCACACACTAACCATTCTCGGTTGGCCATGCTCAGATACCTAGTCTTGCACTGTTGATGGACTGTGAAGATTCACGCTATTGCAGTCATTTCTATAGCGCTCTTCAAATATACAACAGCGCTTTACAAAACAAAGGTAAAAGCAGGATGTTTGAATATTTAAACAGTAAATAAATGACTCTTCAGAAAAGATTTGAACTGTGTGATTGATGTACAGTGTCGGATGTCATGTCAGAGGTCATTCCAGAGGCTTGGTGCAGCAGCATAGAACCCTTTGATCGATTGAAGTCTGTTCTAGCATCTTCAACAGCCTGGTATCAGAACTTGAATGAAGACCACTGCGATTAAACTGGTGAGGTGTTATAAGGTCAGTAGGTAAGATGGTACACGATCTATGTAACATGTAAACCATACGGTTAAACCTAGTATGTTTGAACATCCCCTTAGCTTATAAATAAATTAAAAAATACATTAAAAAGTATGTTATAATGTGGCCACTTTTTATCATCAATACCGGTATTAAGCTAATATCAGGTCACCTATTAATTAGGTTCAATACAAAAAAAGAAAAGAAAATATTCAAATCCATATGTTCTTTGCAGAACTGTTAAATCATAAACCAAAAACAATGAACGTTAACTTACTGCGAGCTTTGGTCTGTTATCAAGAAGACTTGAAATGACATGATATACTCGCAGTAAGCCAACATACATTCTATTTGATTTATTAAGGATTAAAACAGTTATACAACAGTAATAAAGCCAACCAGATGAAACTATTTGTGGATTTTACTTATTCTTTGAAGATATATTCAAGAACATCAGGATATAAAACGGATAAACCAGATTCATGGATTTTACTTATTCTCTGAAGATTCAAGAACATCAGGATATAAAAAGCTTGCCATTCACAGTTTGCAATACATTATACAAAATACATCATTTCATAGCAATCACATAGTAAAATGAAAGGACAGAAAGAGTTTCACTAGCACACAATACTGTATGTTAACAATTAATAGAAGCCATATGACACCATATGTGGCAAAACATACAATATTATAAAATATGTTAGAAAAATCACGGAAGAAGCAATATCACATGGATTAGCCAATCAAATCATTATAAATCTTTGTTATTAAGCTGTCATGATTTGCGACATAACAGGGGTGGCGCTAGTAGGGGGAAAAAATACCACAATTCGTCGGGGAGAAAAAAACAATATTTATTTTGTACATACTCAATTAAATAAAGCCTTTGTAACACCTAAATTGTGAAATTTTCAGAATACATCGAGCGACGCCCAACCACACCAACATTGGTCTTGTCGGGGACATCTACCCCCTCATCAGTGATATCAGCATCGGGGTTCAGACTTACCCCCCCCCCCCTCAAGCCAATCCGGGCGCCACTCCTGCTGTATGAGATGATATGTTTTAATTTTGTTGAAAAGGGACGTACACCAGATTATTCAGAAGACCAACTTATGGCATATCAATGCCAACTCAGACAGCGTAGTGTGTGACTCAGCCAAATGCAACTTATCCTCAGAGTCTTTAGGTTGACGTTTAAAATATTAAACATACAATGCGACTATGGTAACAATTCGCACCTAGTTTTAGTGCATACAGACCCGACGCGAAAAACAACTTTATACATCTACGCATACAACCAGGACCAGTGAAATACAGCTGGTCACGTTACAACAAATTGATAAATCCACACATAACCATGACCAGTGAAATACAGCTGGTCACGTTACTACAACTTTATACATCCACACATACAACCACGACCAGTGAAATACAGCTGGTCACGTTACAACAAATTTATACATCCACACATACAACCACGACCAGTGAAATACAGCTGGTCACGTTACTACAACTTTATACATCCACACATAACCACGACCAGTGAAATACAGCTGGTCACGTTACAACAAATTTATACATCCACACATACAACCACGACCAGTGAAATATAGCTGGTCACGTTACTACACATACGACCCAATAACATTAATACCACAATAATAGTAACAATCAGTGGCAATAATTAATTAAATATAATTTCAATGAAT